ACGCTTCCCCGAAGCATCCCTTTGCCTGGAGACATGGGTGGGCCATGCAGACTGGCACCTCCGGTCCCACGCAGGAAGGGAGTCTGTTCTGGATTCTTCCTCCCTGATACTCAGGGGTCCCCTCGGGCCTGGTTTGCACCAAAGGCACCGGTGGGGAAGGGGAAGGAAAGTGAGGTGCTTGTAATGAATTTGCACCCCGTTACTTACTGATTCAGGAGAGTATACTAATTCAGTTTCAGAGAGTGGTGATTAACCTTCGCATCTCAGGAAAGAGGGAGGGGGTTTACATCCACACTTAGCAGCAGGCTGCAGCTACACCCAACCCAGGTGAAGGAATAGTCAGTGTACAGTCATGCTGAAGACAGTATTTTGGGGTGATTTTTTTGGTACCGTGTAGAAATAAGCCAAACTTGCCAATGTCCTTTGTTTTGGTTATTTCGGTATTAATATTTTAATTGATTTGAATGGGTTTCAAGAATGATAGAAACAGCAAAACGCTCATTGAGAAAACTGAGCGATACAGAGAGACAAAAAGAAAATGATCTATCACTTTCACGCCACCTGTCCTGTCCCTCCATCTGGGAAAATAACGTTAGGTCCTCCCTCCCCACCCCACCAAGATACAGAGGTGCGTGGGACCTGGCCCCCCTCTGCCTTGTGGGTGGGGCAGACCCATCCACCACTGAGCGGGGAGGAGCTGGTGACACAGCTGCTCTCCCGGAGGCTGGTCTCTGCTCCCAGGCGTGGCCCCAGTGGGCAGGGGCCACATTCACACACCCTGGGTGGCCTGGGGCACCACCGGTCCCGTCCCATCCCCCTGGGTGTGGGCTGTCCACCACACAGCCCGCCTTCCTGCCTCACCTGAGCACCTGCGTGAGGACATGCCGTGCGCTGAGCAGAAACGCCTGTGCTTTGTGCTTTTTCCAGGCGGGCGAGAAGCACTTCCACCCTCTGTGTGCGCTATGTGTCGGGTGCGGCCGGATGTTCGCGGAAGGCGAGGAGATGTATCTGCAAGGTAAGAAGGAAAGCACCAAACAGGCGGCTCCCGGGCCCACACCCTGTGCCGGGTGTGCCCTGGTGTGTCAGCGAGCTTTCCCGCTAGTTAGGGAACCCCGCCTCCCAGCAGGGATGGGGGTCCAGGGCCCAGCAGGCTCTCCCCACGGAGCACCCGCCAGAGTCGGCAGAGTGACAGCCTGCCTGGTTTTGCATCGTCCATCCACGTGATGTCCGTGAACCTGAGATGGATGAGATGAGAGAAAAGCCAGATTCAAGAGCAAAGATGCAGGAGTGTTGGAAATTTGGGTCCCAGCAGCCAAACGTAAATGGATGTGGTCTGTGGTGTCTGTGGTCGCTTCAAGCCTGTCCTGAAAGCCCCTCAGCCCAGGGTCCATGTCTCAGGGCTTTCCCCCGCACTACCCTCCCTTGATTGATGAGGGAGTGTGGAGACCACGGGCCGCCCCTGAGGCTTTTTTCCTGGTCAAGGGAGTCGCCAAAGTGTCGGTAAAGAGAGTTCTGGAGAAAAACATAGCCAACCTTCTAACCCATTTCGTGGCATTTCATGGGAAATCCCCAACCCATTCACCATTAAAATAATAATAATAACAATAGAATAAAGGCGAGGCGTTCTGTGGCCACCAGACCTGGAGAAGCAGCAGGTGACAGCCAGTTGCCCCCTCCCTCCTTCTGCAGTGACCCTGTTCAGCTCGTTGCCGCTTTTGTTCAAAAAATTGCACCAACACTCAGACCGGAGCACCCAGCTCCCAGCTATTGCTTTACATGTTTATTCACCGGGGTGCTAGGAGTTCTCCTTCGAGCTACACTTAATTTTATCACCTTGAAGACCCACCCCATCCCTGTGGCTTATTCATTCCCAAGCCTTGGTAAAGAAAGATTATTTGGACACTTGTCAAAACGGTAGGAAGGGGCTTCCCTGGTGGCGCAGTGGTTGGGAGTCCGCCTGCCGATGCAGGGGACGCGGGTTCGTGCCCCGGTCCGGGAAGATCCCACGTGCCGCGGAGCGACTGGGCCCGTGAGCCATGGCCGCTGAGCCTGCGCGTCCGGAGCCTGTGCTCCGCAACGGGAGAGGCCACAACAGTGAGAGGC